CATCTGTAAAAATCAAAATAACTAGAGAGCCACCAGATTAAATTCAACTGTATTAGACCAAGTTAAAACGTGTGGTTTCAGAGTACTTTGATTAAAGCTGCATTTAACAAAGCAGTGTTGTATAGGCTGTTTGAAAAACTGTATTTGCTTCAGACCCAGTTTTTAAGCAGTTTCACAGCCTAGGGTCTTCGTATTTATCAAACCACATCTCCTAGTATCCACATGTGCTCTTCAGACAGCCTTTTCCTTGTGGTGCCTTCTCGTCGAATTGGTTGTCTGGCAACTGTGAGGTCATGGAGTTTTTCTTTGGTAGGACCTGTCTTTTGGAATGACTTACCAGAATGGGTATGGAGGGTACCTTCACCTCCTGCATTCAAGGCATGTAAAATTCAATAGGGCATTTGGTGGAGAGGAAATTGTTTAGGCAGTCTGGTTGGGCTAGTTTTAGCTTGTGTGTTGGTTTAGTGTTACATTATCTTTATGCATTTTCAGCTTGCTGTTGTTTTGTAAGCTACCTTTAGTTCAAGGAGACAGGATATAAATATTTTATATAAATATTATCTATACGCATACATATATTTTAATATAAATGATCCAGGTCCCTGCCTAAAGCACTCATGTGGGTATTGCTTGGTGCATGGAGTCTTTATAACTCTCCTCAGCAGCCTTCCTCCTCCATCTGCCAAGTGGAGGCTGTGGTGGCACTGGATTGGATCAGGTCCAAAGGTAACATAGTGCTTAAGGTTACTTTTTATCATAGGAGTAACACATTAAATAATGCAGCCAGATAGCTGTAAATCCAGCAAATTGCATTTGGTGTAGATACAATCAAATATATCTTTAGTTGAGGCGAGCAACGGTTTCTTACATCTGCCTGGCACACACACACCCACCCCTGATTGAATGCTAGCACTGCCATCTTGTTTTTAAAATGTCTTTAATTACTTAAATGCTTTGAATGTTTTTAATATTGAATTTTTATGGTTTTAACTCATTCCATAATGCACAGAATTAATCTGTAGCCAACCTCCCTGAGCCCTGCACAAGTGTGGAAGGGCGGGCAAGAAATCTAATAAATAAATAAGTAAGATTAAATCTGTTGCAAACTTATTTTTTAAATGTGTTTAGTAGATGAAAAAAAGACTAGAAGGGAGGGGCTGTGGGTCAGTGGTAGAACATCTGCTTAGCATCCAGAAGGTCCCAGGTTCAATCTCTGTTATCTCCAGTTAAAAGATCTGGCAGTAGGTGATGTGAAAGACCACTGCCTGAGACCTTGGAGAGCCACTGCCTTTCTGAGTAGAATATACTGACTTTGATTCAGTATAAGGCAATTTCATGTGTTCAAATGTATTTTGTTGCTAGAATAGTTTTTGTAAAAACTATGCAAAATCATGTTATTAAAAACTGGTAACATGGAATTTGTACCAGAAGTAAAATAATTTGACTTCTAATGTTGTAGTACTGCTACTGGTACCTTTTTGGAGCCATGACAACACTGAGGGTTCAGATACAATCTTTTTCCATATCTAATGATGAGGCAGAAGTCTGCCACTTAAATCTAATCATGGAAACATTCTTTGCTTTCTTCTTTTGTCTCCGTAGCATTATTTGTATGAGCTGGTTATCAAAACCCTTGTTCAGCACAACCTATTCTATATGCTCCACCAGTTTTTGCAGTACCATGTGCTCAGTGATTCAAAGCCTCTGGTATGTTAATGGTACAGTTTAATATTTTGTAGCTTTTAAGTGCTTTGTGCTTATTCAATACTTTTGTCCTGTCCTGCTCCCAGTAGCATATATGGGATTATGCCATCACAGCACAAGAATCTTCACTGTGTGACTGAAGGTAAGCTGCGGAAGGTATTTTACGGCTGGCTCCACCTCCTGCAGCAGGCTGCACCTGCCATGCTTTGTCAGAATTCCAAAGGTGCTGGCAGACTCAAAAAGGTTGGGGGACCCCTTGGTTAGGAGATACCTTAGTAGGCACCCCATCACACACACACAGAGTGATTTACGGCTAAATTTATTTGTATATTGTCGTCGTTTCTCCAAGCTAAAGAGCCCTAAGCGCCTTAACCTTTCCTCATAGGGAAAGTGTTCCAACCCCTTTAAGTTCCAACCCCTTTAAGTTCTAAAATAGGACTGAGATGTTACCTTAAAAGACTGCCAAGTAGGTAAGGGGAAGCTTTTCTTGTATTGGAGAGTTAAGGCTCCTGGCCTTTCGTTATTTCAGCATCCACTCACAGTCTGGTCATTTGTACTTTCAGAGACTTTCTACAGCAAATGATGAAATAGTGGAAGTTCTGTTGTCCAAGCATCAAGTATTGGCTGCCTTGAGATTCATCAGGGGCATTGGAGGACATGATAGCATTTCTGCCCGCAAGTTCCTTGATGCAGCAAAGCAGACTGAAGATGAGATGCTCTTTTATACCATATTTAGGTTCTTTGAGCAGAGAAATCAACGATTACGTGGAAACCCTAGCTTCAATCCAGGTAAATAATTTGACAAGGAAATCCTACAGAATAAAGCTTTTTAAAAAGCAGAATCAAAAAAACTAGCTTGGATATGTGTTAACAAGGATTTAGAGTCAAGGTTCAGAGTTAACAAGTTCTTAACAGGGAGTGGGGGCTTGATAATTTATATTTACGTTAGTTATAGTCCACCTTTCTCACTGGGAATCAAGGTGGGGTTACACAGAGTGAATCAATACAACCAACAAGATGGGACATCCATTTCCAATCTGGGTTCTGTAGTTCCTGTACTATTAGTAAACATTGTAGAACTTGTGTCAGTGTATATCAAAGAACATGGCTTTGTAGCTTTAATCAAAGAGAATTTAGAGACAAGATTAACAGTGCAATCCTATGCAGGTTTTCCATTCTAAATCTATTTGTATCACTGGGTTTAGCCCGAAATAAACCTACTTAAGGATTGTACTAAAAACATTGAATATCGACTGTAGATCAGCTAGTTAGATATGAAAGTATTCATATAAGTTTTATTGAGACAACTGAACAGTTGAGGTATTCTTACAGAACCTGCCAAACAATTTTTCCTGTAAGCCAAATACCTAAGTAAGATTTAAGGTACATACTTAAATTAGTGCTTAACATTCTTGAAAGTTCAAACAAGTATAAACCTGAGAAAACCTAAAGTAATCCAGTGTTACCAGTACACCTTTAATATATTTTCGAAATGCTGTAACAGGCAGTGCGCCTATATTACATATACAGAGAGGAGGTCTGATTTGACATATACTCTGGTTAAAGTTGGGAAAGACAGCCCTAAGTAAATGCTAGAACAGTTTCAACTTGGTACTAGCAAGACTGAAGGAATTATGAATATTCTACTGGAAGGGAGGGGGGAGTCCTGGTAGAAGAAAATGTTTTTAGGTTTCCCTTGGTAATCTGCTGTGCAATGTTACTGGAAGAGCAGTAGTAGATTGCTGCTGCTTTATAGGGAGGATTAGAATAGTCCTGCTTCACAGTGCTGCTGTAGCACTTGCTGTCTTGTCAGCTGAACTTTTCTTATGCTCTTACGAGGGCTGTAAAAACAGCACTTCCCCAGTTCAGTAATATATAGCCAGCATTTGCTAGGAGTAATACTATTTCCTACAACTATTTCATGGAACCACAGTTCTGTGTAGTTGCCTATCATTAACATGCTCAGCTTCCTTCTCCCTAGTAGACCAGGGTGGGGGGATATATATCCATACATGAAAATCCCAACAGTGTATCTCCAAATGACCATAAGGAGTTTTTCACACAAACAATTCCCCTTAGTACAGTATCCCAGAAGCTATTCTGGATAGTTTAGCAGCAGTTTACTGAAAAGCCTAACTTTATTAGAATGGTTCCAGTGCATAGAAAAGGCAAATTGCTAGGTTGAATTAATCTAACCTAGTTTGTTAATCTACTGGGAGAAGTGGGATTGCCTGGTAGAGTTACTGAAACAGGCCCTCCCATACAAAGACATGTACCTTATTTCATGTATAGAAGCAGATAGCTTGGGGAACTGAAGTGTTGTGTCATCATCGTACCCCTAGAGTATGGCTTTCTACCAAGTGATTAGTCTAATAGCAGTTTACAAGACTTCCAGGATACACTCCATGTGTACAATAGCTCTTTCCAGTTTACAGAATCTTACTGCAGATCACATTTTAATTGCCCCCGTGTTTTTTTTCCTTATGACAACCACTTCTGCTTCATGTATGCTAGCTGCCTGATTTGGAAGTTTAAAGTAGTGCATAGCTAAAGCCTGTGGAAGTTTTAAGAAGCAGCTCCTGCTGCTTAATAGCTTTAAAAAAAATAGAAAGGGTTAGCACATTTAATTCCACAGATGTTGTTTTGCTCTAGCTGTATAGTAATATTTAGCTTACAGTATTTGTTCTTGTTTTATAGGAGAACACTGTGAAGAGCATGTCACGTATTTTAAGCAAGTTTTTGGAGACCAAGCTCTAATGAAGCCTACCACTTCCTGAAGCACTCAAGTTGTTTCAATACAAAGTGTATAAACTTAATTTATTTCATTTATGTACTTCTGACCTACAAAAATCCCTCTTTTATAATAAAGTATATATACAGACCCTTTGGCAAATATTAAAAATTATAACATTGAGTGATGGCTTATTTTTCTTCTAAAAATAGAGCCCAAAATTGCATTGATGTGCATTTTAAAACGTGTCAGTGGTTCAGCAATCTCTTCTCATATGTATCACTTTTAATTTCACCAGGACAGCTATTCTTCTTCTTGACTAGTCGTCTTTCCCTTAGCTGTAATCTTTTAACAGTAGTAATTTAGAATCCTGTTAGTGCTTTTAATTTTAGTAATACTGAAATGCAACATTGCATGTAGTTCTTCCAAGCTGTTCAGAACTGCTGCTGTAATGCTGGTATTGATCCATCCAGTAGTATTTCTGGGTGTGAGACAGTCGTCATAGAAATTTGCTACAGTTTATTTTGATGAAAAGCCCTTCCAGCCACAAATTCCAAGAGTCCACTGACCACTTTGTTTAAAATGGCTAGAAGAACAGGAGCTTCTCTCTTTCTGTACCTTTGTTCCTTTCTTGAAGTGCACGTACTTTAGCTTTATTTACTGAAGGCCCTGTGAAGGGGCAAAAAAACAAGTTCAAAACCTTATTTTCCAGTTTGATATTTCTGCACATACTCCACAGACTGGAGTAAGTCACTTTGTTTTGTCCACAGCAGAAAAATAGAGTCCTTACCAATGTAACTAAGTAGGACAGGAAGAAATATTAATCCGTGGGTTGCTCCAAGCAGTACCATGGCCAGATACATCCTGAAGTAGAATATCTGGAAGATTTGGGATTTTGAAAAGGCAAGCACTACTATTCCTCCAAATTTTGTGAGTGTAATACCGCTGAAAACCTGCCAGAGTTAAAATAAGTGTTTGATTTTGTACAGCATATATAATAATATGCTAGAGGAGTGACAGAAGAGGTACACGCTAACCATATCTTACACAGAATATATTGCTATTGTCCTTTTACACACACTTAAGGAATTAATATTTTGTAAAAGATTTAGTTTTTCCTCTGGTAAGTTACAGATATATGCATGGACTCAGGCTGCTGGCTGCACACACACAAAGAAGACAGCTGCACAGAAACATGTCCTGAGCTGCATCTGCTCCTATGACAGCATAAATTACAGTGCAATACTTACAGAACTGCCCATGTGGGATAATGCCTCTTCAGCTCGCTCTGCTCTGCTGGGTTTTGTACTGACTGTGAATGCCCTTGTCACGTGGCTACAGAACTCAACGGAAATGCCACAGCTCTGGAAGGAAAGCAGCATCGGCAACAGTTTAGTGTGTCTGGAGCTGGCAGTTCTAGAAAGCCCCAGCCCCATGCTCACTAGCTCCACAAGCATCCTGGCAGCTAGCAAAGCAGGCAGCAGCCCAGTAGCCTGTGAAGAAGGAAAATCTTCCAGGCAGCCCCACCCGAGGAGGTGTGGCAGGAACAGTCAGTCATGGGGGGGTGAGGTCCCACATGGGAGACATTGGGGAGAAGCCATTGCCACTGAGCCCCGTCTTTCCTTGGTGGGAGTGGCAGAATCCAGGGTTAGCTAAGGGTGGGCCAGGACGGACGAGCCAGACTTCTCCTTTGGCTCGCAGGGAGTGGTGAAGAGCAGCTAGAGATGACGCTAAACCTCCCTCCTCTCACACTTCTGAGGCTCATCTCGGGCCAATGCCTGAAAGGAGGCTGGAAGGAAAACGATCCAGAACGTCCCTCCACTGGGTGCTGTTAGGACAGAACCCACCCCAGCATACATGTGGCCCTAGGTAAGGGATAATGGTTAACTCTAGTCGCTCAGAGACCCCCCCCCCCCGGGGGGGGTCGGGTGGGGGAGCAAGTTGAAAGTATAAATAAATAAATAAATAAAATGCCTGACATATTACTGCAGAACACTCTTATTGCCCTCAGAAAATGAAAATTACACTGCAGCCCTCTATGCACCCTTAAATAGGAGCATGTTCCATTAAAGAGATAGACTTCAAATAAATATAATTACGATGTTTTACTGGACTGTGTTTCATGATGGGATTTCGCTTTCTGGGGGTCATCCTGTACTTAAGTGGATCGTTAAGCAGACACAATTTTTAACCTGAACTAAAACAAAGTGTTGAGAATGAGAAATCTGCAGCCATTGCACTGGTTTATGAGTTCTAATGTAACTGAAGTCCAGAACATGACATTTTATTGTACTACAGACAGCAATACTAAAATTTTGGAAAGATACTTTTCTAGGAGTTAGTAGACTCTTAGTTCTGTGGTATGAAGTATCAATGCATTTTTATATTAGCAAGATAAGGATACTTTCAGGCATTATACACCCAGTTAGTACCAAAGGAACTAGAAAGCAGATATTAGATGCAAAGACTTACCACTACAAGGTTGACCAATGAAACCGCATTCAAGCTGATTCCCCAAAGCCACATGACTCCAAACATGTTCACTAGTATCATAGCAATGGTAAGGGAAACAACAACGGCAGCCCACACTTCACAGCCAAGCAGTACCATTGTTACTACAAATATTGATCCAAGTGAAATGGCAAGGTTGAAAATGGTATCTCTCACAATAGTCAAGTATTGTTCATAAAAAACGTAGAACACACTGCATAAAATGAAGAAAAAGCACTGTTAAATCTAACAGACTAACGGGAGCAATTTCAGAACATAGTTATCTTTTATGTTTTCCCAAAAAGGGAATTCATTTGAAGTATTTTATCCTACCTTTCCTTGAACTCAAGACAACTTAGTAAATGCTTAATTAAAAAAATTAGAACTTCTTTTACAAAATTAACACCCATCCATCCACAAGTATTATGTCACTCTCTTCACAGATTAAAAGCAGTCTTACAACTTTTACAATAACTAATTAACAAAGCACTTTACAGTCACAGGCATAAGAAAAGGTGCAGACAAAGTTGTCAGGGTGCAAAGCTATCAATGGAAATGGGGGTTCATTTACCAGATTTTTACTGTTTACTGCTATGACAATTTCACTCTCACAATTTCAAAACAGGGTTTCCCTTTTCTTTTTGGCAGAGCAGCTTTTTCCTTTTCTTCTTTTTCCCCCTCTGGCTGACCCACCCAGTTGTTTGAATCTATATTGGTAAAAGCTGACCCAGCCTAGGGAACTGTGGGGAGAGACTAAACTTCTTATGTCCTGGTTTAATAATGGCACATGAAAGACTGACGATAGTAATCAGGCATAGGGCTTATGGGGTGAACAGACAGCAAGAATGAGGTAACTTGGTATAAAATAAATACCAGATAATTTGTCACAAACAAGTAACTGTTTCTGTTATTCAAACAGGTCTTTAAAACTTGAGGAGAAATACTTTTTGGCAGTCTGCTTATGTACACCAAGAAGCTTATGCTTGTTTATCACAGGCACTAAAGTTGGTGAAGGAAGGAACATTCCAAAAAGTTCCAGTTTCCATTCTTAACCACTTAATAGGGATCACCCCTCCTTTTCTAGGAGCTATTTCCCTCAGGCTTGAATCAGGATCTTTCTTGATCCTCTTACTCCCTTAGCCTTCCTTCCCACTCAACTGTCAGTTCTTAACTGCCACTTCTAACTGTCACGCCAGGGCCTTCTCAGTGGCGGCTCCATACTGGTGGAATGAGCTCCCAGAAGACACCAGGGCCCTATCACAGTTCTGCAGGGTCTGGAAAACGGAGTTCTTCCACCAGGCTTTCGATTAGGGGCCACCACTGAGGAATGAGCACTGGAAATCGAACCAGCAAGGCCCTTAAGCTATGTTATAGACAATAAGACGACTGGACACCGGCCTATCTATATCAGCCCACTTCAGCAAACGCCATCTGCACTAACTGCACTTTATGTATACTATGGTTCGGAATTTTATTGTTACGTATTTATGTATTGTATTTTATCATATTTTAGTCTATGTACACCGCCTTGAGCCTGCATGTGCAGGCAAGGCGGGATATAAATCTAAAATAATAAACAAACTGAGGAATTCTACTTGGCAGCCCCCCGGGGGGGGGGGGGGCGCCTGCTAGGACAGTTCTAAAGATCTGCCTCTGCAAAATACATCCATTTGCTGTTTGAAAGGTCAGAATTCACTATTTTCAATATAGTTTTGCATCAGACCTGCGCAGCCTCTGCTCCCTGCCCCCAGCTCCTGTTTTCCAATGCTGTGGTCAGCAAGAGAAAAATATTTATCACCAGGGGTCATTTCATAGAAAAAGAGCTAGGGGGACTCATTAGCATAACTCATTAGCATATGCCACACCCCCTGACATCACTGGACCTCTTCTCCTGCCTCCTCCTGGCTGAATGAGGGCTGGAAGCAGGGGGCGGGGCTTCATCATGTGCCCCGCCCCCCCGCACCCCACCCGGGGGGATGGCCCCCCCCCACGCCCCCCCCCCCAAATGACCCCTGTTTATCACAGAGTTTCTGTCAGTTACTGGAGAGATGTAGCATCACTTCTAGGTTTTCCCTGGAAGTGAGGTCATGCCATTCCCCAATGCTCCCCCAGCATCCCACTGGATGCCATCTAAGCACTTTTCATCTTAAATATTTTAGCTGCAAGAGGTTAAGAAAAATGGTTTCCAAAATATTAACAATATAGACTTATAAAATCTAATAAAAATAATTATAAAAATTTTAAAAAATGGTTTCTAACATGCTGTAGCCAGACCCTGCATGTTAAATGTTGAGTAAAAGCTTTTAAAGGAGACTTCTGAACTGTTACAATACTTAGCATTTGCAGTAATTTAACACTCAGCCCAACAGAATTTGCAGAACATTTGCAGTGCCACCCTAACCCCGATGACCACCCCCTTCTCAATGTTCAGAGGGAGAAGAACGGTGGTGGAACAGACCATCCAGTCTGTAAAGGAATTCATGTACCTGTAAGGGAAAACATGGTAGCTCTTTTCTTGGATTCCCATTGTTTTCGTAATATTGGCTGCTATCATTTGTGCTTTCTTCATTGCATCAATGAAGTCTGCTGAGGTTTTTAGCACTGTATGGAAAGTCATGAAGTAAGTTGCTCCAACTTCAGTGTTGTTGTGTATTAAGTCAACTGCAGAGCTATATGCTGCATGCCCTCTGTAAAGAAAAGCATAATTAACACAAGGGTCTGAGTAGTCAGACCATCCAAAGGGGTCAAGGTCCAACAAGGTGCCAGCACGGTGGACGGGTTAGAGCATCGAACGAGGATCTGGGAGACCCAGGTTCAAATCCCTACTCTGCCACGGAGCTTTGCCAAGTGACCTTGGGCCAGCCACACACACTCAGTATACCCTACCCAACAGCGTTCTTATGAGGATAAAATGGAGAAAGGAGAATGTCGTAAGCCACTTTTGGTCCCCAATGGAGAGAAAAGTTGGGTGTCAAAAAGTAAATAAACAAACAGCAGAATGTCATCACTAATACATATTTAGGATTTACGCGGCATTTCATGTATTATCTTTTCAGTTTTGAAACAGTCCTTTAAGTTAAGCCAAGAGTAACCAGGACTGCAATTATATGTGTGGGAGAAAGCAAAGTTCCCTCTAAGCTGTGGCGTCTTGTGAGCAAAAATTCTACTTTGTGAGCTGCTGGCATGAAAGTGGTGAGCGAGCGATTTGGCTGCTGCCTAAATTAGTCTGCTCTGGAGCCATCCCTTCCTGAGCTGAGACAAAAAATGTGTGAGCTGTAGGCTAAAAAACTGTGAGCTAGCTCACACTAACTCAGCTTAGAGGGAACACGGGAGAAGGTCACTACAGCCAAGTAGCTGCTCAAGGCTACCGAGTGAGCGCCCTGACCTGGATAGCCCAGGCAAGCCCATTCTCCTCAGACCTCAGAAGCTAAGCAGGGCCGACTCTGGCAAGTACTTGGAAGGGAGACCTCCAAGGAATACCAGAGGTGAGATGCAGAAGAAGGCTAATCATGCCACCTTCTCTGAAAAACGTCCATGCCCTCAGGAGGGGTCACCAGAACTCAACCGTGACTTCCAGGCAAGCACGCGCGCACACAATATATATAAATATTAAAAAGACTACCTAGTGAGCTCATGCCTGTGGTGAGTTCTAAACTAGAAACATCCCAAAACAAACGTTCATACTTTCAGACACTACGCACCAGCTCTACAACTCTGTTCTTATTAGGACACCGCCAGAAGCTGCCACAAATCAAATCCTGGGCTGAGTACACCAGCTACAGACTTCCTTTTTAAGCAGAGTACCTATTTGCTAATCCAAACTTATGAGGGAACACAGCATTTTAACAATGTATGGAAAAGGTATAACTTAATAGATATTGTGGTATTAAGCGTTCTTGTCCCAAGAAGAACAAGCATAGTGCAAACATAACACGGTAGAATGCAAGATTCTCTTCACACCAGATACTCCATCATTTCTCTCAGGAGGCCCTGGACTGCTAACGTTACTATCTTTCCTCTTCCAATTACCTCCACCCACCCCCCAACTATAAATGTGCTCAGTGGGTTACAGCTCCAACAATGGGGCCATGAGATCTCACTAACACAGGAACAGGTGAGCAAACAGCACTTCATTAGATCCACACTTGCACCATTAATTTTTATATCTGTTTTATTTGCTTCAGAATTGCCATTAGAGTAAAAGTGTCTCATAAATCAGAAAAACTGGTAACACGGAGGTTCATGCCTAAGTTTACCTAACTTACATGTTTGTCTTCCATATTAAGAACAAATCCATTCTAAATGCTTCAAAAATACAACATGATTTGAAGACTACAAAACAGATTCTTTTATGACTGCAATATCTGTCTGAACATGGTTTGTTGGTTTGTTTTTTTGCCATCAAGTCACAGATTACTTCTGCTGACCCTGTGGGGTTTTCAAGGCAAGAGACACTCGGGGTGGTTTTTGCCATTGCCCGCCTCCGTGTCACGACCCTGGTATCCCTTGGTGGCCTCCCATCCAGCTACTAGCCAGGGCTAACCCCTGCTTGGGTTCTGAGATTGGACAAGATCAGGCCAGCCTGGGGCTAATCCAGGTCAGGACATCATCATGCCTGAACAAGGTTTAAAAAGTAAAAGTAAAGGTTCCCTTGCTCGAAAGCCAGTCGAATCCGACTCTAGGGTTGCGGTGCTCATCCCTGTTTCAAAGCCGAAGAGCCAGCGCTGTCCGAAGACGTCTCCATGGTCATGTGGCCGGCATGACTAAACACCAAGGCGCATGGAACGCTGTTCCCACCGAAGTGGTACCTATTTATCGACTTGCAATTTCTTGCTTTCGAACTGCTAGGTTGGCAGGGAACAAGGTTTACTTTTAAGAAAATGTTACTTAATTTAACTTTTCCAGCATAGCAATACATACCCTTTCCCACATTTTGGATTAGGGTTATCTGACAGGAACATTGGGAGAAATTTCATGAAGTCTTCACCCTGGGGTCTCTGCTTCCCTTCAGGAGTTAGTGGCCGGCAGCGCACACAGGATGGATTAACAACTGCATAAATGTTGTAGAAAGGGTTCAAAAGAATGGCTGCCAGCTACCATATACATACATGTAATGTCATGCAGAATAACTACATTACAAAAAAACCCAAAAACCTTGATGTCCCAGGATTTTGTGCCAAAGGCACCAGAGAACCTACTCAGTCACAAGAACACATTAAAACTGGCTGTAGACACATTTTTTCAAAAGTGATTGTCACAGTTTTAGGCATAACACTTAACCACCTCCTATATTAAGCTACAGCTTACTGAAACTATTATCTGTGTTCTAACTCTATACTGTCCATATGTGTGCAGGGAGCAGTTTTTAAAATGAAAAAAGACTTTTCCCCTGCTCCCTTTTCTGAAACCACATCTTAAGAACAGCCAACATCCTATTTTTTTGTATTCTTTTGTATTTTTATATGACCATGCAAGTGTGTGTGTGCGGTGTGTGCATGCGTGTGAGCGTGTGTGTACCTGGAAGTCATGGCGACCTCTGGGGGCCTGAAGGCTATTCAGAGAGATGGCTGAATAAAGCCTGCCCCCGCCTCCCGCCTCTGGTATTCCAAGGAGGTCTCCCATCCAAGTACTTGCCAGAGTCGACCCTGCTTAGCTTCTGAGATCTGACGAGATCAGGCTTGCCTGGGCTATCCAGGTCAGGGCCAGCCAAAATCCTATTTAGACAGATAGGAGCCATCAGCATTGCCGTATTTCATTTAGATACGGTGTACCTAATGCTATCCCCATGAACTGAATATAGACGAGGTATGAGGAAATGGTCCTGAATGAAGTTCCCTGTAAAGGTCAAGCGTATGGGACAGCATCCCTCTTGTGTTGGGAAAGAAAAAGATTATTTATTGACAAAAATGATATCCTGCCCTCTTGCCCTGATCACCAAGGTGGCTAATAGATTAAAAATAGACATAATAAAAAACTTCTTAAAAACCATTTAACCCAAACAAAAACACATCACAAAAGTGCAATAAAATACACATACAGCAAAAAAATAAAAAATAGGGCAGGAAGGAGGGATCTCTGAGGGACAAAAAATGACAACAGCCCTAGGGGACAAGGGTTCCGGAGTTCTGGTGCCACAACCAAGAAGAAGAAGAAGAAGAAGAAGAAGAAGAGAAGAGAAGAAGAGATTGGATTTATACCCCGCCCTTCACTTGGAGTCTCAGAGCGGCTTACAAACTCCTTTCCCTTCCCCTCCCCACAACAGACACCCTGTGAAGTGGGTGGGGCTGAGAGAGCTCTGACACAAACTGCTCTTTTTCAAGGACAGCTGTGCTAGAGCTTGTGACTGACCCAAGGTCACATCAGCAGGTGCAAGTGGAGGAGTGGGGAATCAAACCTGGTTCTCCCAGATTAGAGTCCACTCACTTAACCACTACACCAAACTGGCCCTCTCTGCCAGGTTGCTACCTGCCTCACCGCAGAAGGCGCAGGGGCACCCGAAGCAGGGCCTCGGAAGACGACTGCAGTGGTTGGGCAGGTTCACAATTGACACTTGTTCCTTCTGTACAACCAACTCCACATAGTGAAAAGGGATACTAAAGATTTTAGTTCTTGAACAATCTTGTTCAAAATCTGTTTTAAAATAACGGTTTTTGGCCCTCCTTCTAGTGTTGTTTATGTGTCTTTAATTAAATTTTATATTTTAAACTGTATTTTAATCATTTAAATGTTTTAATGTTTTTTATATTTGCTGCCCTGTAGAGCCTGACTGGGTAGAAAAGCGACATTAAAATGTTTTAAATAAATAATTTATATGTATGTATGTATGTATGTATGTATGTATGGCCTGGCAGCCATTCTGATCCCAAGAAGTACAAGCAATAATGGATAGCCAGACAGCATGGCTGATACGTACATCAAACAGGAACGTCTTCACATTATTTATAGTCTGCCTTTTGCACAGGGACTCAAGGAAGATTACACACGGTCAACAAAATGGGACATCCAGTAACCGATGCATTCGAATTTTAGCAATATGGAATATGGAGACACAGCGAAGAATACATTCAACAGAGAAATATTCCCAAAATAAAACCAATTCACTTTTAGTTATGCAAATTAAGTGTACACCATGTCTGACCTGATTAATTAATTTTGGAGCAGCAATCATCTCGACATCCAGGAACACAGCTTCAAAATCATGCATTCTAATTGTTAAGTTGCATTTATGGTATATGCCTCATAAACTACATAACAGCATGATTTCTTCTGTCAACAACTCCATCATACTGAAGTTATATAATGGAGGCAAAAATGGTTGATGTTCTCAGAATGTGATCTCACTCACATGTGCCAACAGCAGTGTCCTGGGTGCTTGAAATTAAGCTGGATAGAGCTGTTTCATGTGGCCAGCCCTTTATATGAAGCAACCTTCTTTGCAGTTCCTGCAAATGCTACCATATCCAGGAACTCTTTGTTTTAATATCTGAGTAGGCACAGTGACTAGTGTGGGAACTGCATCCAGGAACTGTCTGATTTGTAGACCTGTCTCTATATCACCTTTAGGGCACATCAGGCCAACGTTTAATTCACAGTATAGGTGCTCAGCCCAGAACCATCAAGCTACACATGACCAGTACAGTTGTATTTGGAGGGATAACATGTTATTGGATCCTTACCATATCCCTGGATTAGAATGTCTGTACTTTGTGCCAGAAAAAATGTTTCTGGAGAGCATACAAAGAGAAGTCAGCAGTACCTGAAGCATTGCAGAACTGTTCTGTGGCGTTATAGACTCTGCAGCAGGAAGACTGCGGTTTAACCCAGTCAAAGTAGTCATCAAGCCAAGAGGAAGGAGTATAGCCAATTTTTGTGCTACAAAATGGAAAAAGGAGACATCTTTAGCCAAACACTGGACAGTACACTTTTAAATAAAGAACACAACACAACTCTGCTCTTTTGGAAGATTTGCAACTGTTTACCTAAATGAGGTGAAATGTACTGTACAAAAAAGAGGGAACTGGAGAACATAATTCCTTTTTAAAATGTATGGTAAAATTCACAGAATGTGTATTTTACAATGACCTGTCCTTAATTTGACTGTAAATAGCCATTTTGTAATGTACTGTGCCACAGAAACATTTTATGGTGACATTTCCATGTAAAAAGTCATTGTGTGTGTACCTTAAGCAGATACTTCTGCAAACAAAAGTGAGCCAATATACACAATCTGGTTCACGGTCCTAAGGGCAGTTCAGGGCACACACAGAAGAAATGTGTGGAGTAAAACAGGTCACAGTTTTATTGCTTACAGCACTCAGGAACATTGGCGCAGCATAGGGCATGGATCCAGACACTGGGCAACCTGCCTGTCAGCTGATGGAACCTGTCCCCAGGCCGCTTGCTGGGGGAAGTAGGAGCAGCAAGCCTGTGGTTCCACATGAAGCACAAGCCTCGGTGTGGAACCCCTGTCACCTGGGAGTGGAGCCCCGCGACAGCCCCCGAGCTGGGCACATTGCTGCAACGTCTTAACTCACAAGACCCCTTAAGGGGGTCCTCAACCAGGGAGCTGGGCACACAGGCACAGACTCCCCCCAGATGGATCCAGCCCAAAGCCTGAAACTGCCAGAAACTGTGACAAAAAGAACAGAGCAAAAGTAACAGCATATAACACTTTAAAAAGGGAGGAAGAGTGGGATGTTCAAAGAGGCCTTGGGCAAGTCTGTGGCCACCATTTCTTTTCAGCAATTACCAGGCCCAGGTTAGTAAACAATGCAAGCGCTCAACTTCTTTGAAGAAACCTACCTGGGAATCTCATTCAAGCCCCATTAAAAGTGAACAGAAATTGTACCGCAGGAACAAACTTAGAGTCCAGTGGCACCTTTAAAACCAACAAAGGTTTAATCAAGGTATGAGCTTTCGTGTGCAAGGCATATGAAAGCTCATACGTTGAATAAACCTTTGTTGATCTTAAAGGTGCCACTGGACTCTAAGTTTGTTCTACAGCTTCAGACCAACATGGCTGACCATCTGGATCTGCTGCAGGAACAGTTCGTCAGCAGGTCCAGAAGTCACACTTCCACAAGAGTATGCTTCTATTCATGTAGGAGTTAGTTATTTCTATGGGCATTTCATGGGGGAAATGGAACACTTACTAGCTACTAATCTGTGCTGCATCGAATACTTGCTGCACTAGAGAATTGTTGTTGCATCCCATTCCACCACACACCATATTCTGTCCATCCAGAGTAGTATAATCGTGGCCTTCTTCTAGCACAAAATATACTGGAGGACCTGCATGCAAGTATTTGCTAAGGGAGTTGAAGTAATCCAGCATATATGAGTCCTTATACAAAAGAAGGGGAAAAGATCTGGGTTAGTTCTACAAATGCTATTCATATTTCTATTAGGTATGTAATTATATTATTAAGTTTGTGATGATACGTTTCAGTAATTTTGCTGTTGTAATAACTTCTCTCGAAAACTGGCATGGGGTATTGGAAAAGGCATAAAAGCCACTTACATCTGGCATAGATAATCTCTGGTCCAGGCCAATCTCTACTTTGTTGACAACTGATACACTGAATGACAGAATACCCACAAATATAGATATCTGAAAGATAAATGGAAAAAGCTGATGTAATGCACAAAACCAGAAATTTATACCCATAAAGGAAGAAGCATCAACTTAACATTGCAGGATAATACAGTTCTCATATCTTCCAATACTTCAGATTTTAATGCCCAATTATGTCAAGATGAATTAGCTGTGTGGTAGAAGCAACAATTAGAACTTTCATATGAATGTTCAAGTGCAGCAAAGAGTTTACTGAACACTATTAAGTCATTCAGACTACTTAAATTAACCATTCTGAAAAACCTGTTAGGGAAGGAAGGGAAATTTTATAAGATTAACTACAGATCAATTTCGATGCCTAATTGCATTTGAAGTATTAAAGCAGTATATAGACAGGGTTTTTTTTAAAGGTTGAGATTAACTAGAAGTATTTTTACTAATGAAACAGAACCAAACATGAAGATTTGCATACCACAATGGGTCTCATCCAATCCTTAAGAAGAAATGGAGAATATATGTTTTTGAAGAACAGAAACAAGACACTTTCAGAGTGCTGCACACTGCCACGCTCTTCGCCGCCTTTGAAGCAACATAAAATATCCAACTGATTTTTCTGGAAAATAAAACCCCAAAAGTGCAAGAGTGAATATGCTGCTGAAAGCAGTAACTGCCTACACAGAATAAATTATATTACAGTGGACTCACCTCTTGACGCTTAACATCCAGTCCTAAGAGACTAACAAAGCAGGTAACCTGCAGGAGGAAATCAATGAATATAGCCACTGCAGCAAACAGCGAGAAAGTACGAACAGCAGGCATGGTAGACAAAGTCCCTAAAAAAGAGAAACAGAAATGTATTAGATCATTCTGCTGTAGAGAAACAGATATACAATTATCTATGCCTGAAATTTTGCAGTAAAAAAACAGAGCTCAAGACTTCCCTTTATAAGGGAATATCAAAAGAATGCCTTAATACTGCAAGCTGCTTGCTTAACAGAAAAGGTGCTTTCAAGATATTCCCTTCTCAGGTAACATAATATTGCGGCTGGTTGATGCCATAGTTTTACAAATAGCTAAAGATTAAACCCTGTTCTTTCATTTCACCACAGGAGATGGCCATTTCCCCCCAAACACCTCTAGCTGTAACAAATTAATGCAAACAGATCTCACAAGCCTATGTTGTGGGATCTTGGTTGCCATTTTGGGGGTTGTTAGGCAACTCCAACAATATTCCAAGACTTGCATGCCTCAGTTACTGTCTGTCAAGGTGGCAGAGGGAGACTGAAAAGGGTAGGTTGCTGGGAGGAAGAGACAAAAAAGAGGAGACTGCAAGAGCTATAAGGAGGAGGGAACAGATAAAGATACATCAATGCATATGGGAGAGAGAAAAGGAAACATGCAAAGGGGGCTGTCAGGGAGAGAGAAAGAGTGAAGGAAGGGAGAATACAAGGGTGGGAATAAGCTAAAATGCAGGAGGAGAGAGACTAAAAATTCTTACCCAAGAAAAAAGCCACTGCCTCTGAAAATGATGACAGGAACATGCTAGGAGCCACATCTCCAAGGATTCGTCCTATCTGCTTATCTAGGGTTTCACCTTGAAGACGGACGTCTCTCTGAAATTGCAATTTATTTGTTAGGAATTTATCTATAGATCTTCTGAGATATCATACAAATCTTAATTTAAGAGATCTTCAAATGTAGTTAAGGCTACCAACAACTAGGAATCTGGGAGTCTTGCATCTTTTCTTGAAGTGTAAACCAGAAATACAAAATTACAGAATCATATTGATTTGGACAATGATTACACCAAGTAATAGTCTTAGAACGTTTCCTCTTTCCATACGTTTTGAGAAAATTGCCAAGAGACAACAATAGTTAAGTCACCAGTTTGTGCTTACAGACAAATCTGTTCAATCCTATAGAAATATCCCATTCCTACTTGATATGCCTCTTTATGTATTAAAAGGAGATGGAGACAAAGCTAGGCCCTTTCTTTCAGTTTTGCTGGAGCCAATGACTGCTCTCTTCTTAATCCCTAGAACAGACACCATTACTGGATGTTCTGGAACGCATACATTCCTAAATCCTGAATTTTCTTGTTTGCTTCATCTCTTGCCTTAGTCCCTTGTTTTTAGGTCATATGTAATAGATCAGCTGAACTGCAGGCTGTGGAAGGTCGGTAGTTCAGCAGTTCGAGACCCGAGTGTGCCGCATGACGGAGTGAGCTCCCGTCTCTAGTTCCAGATCCTGCCAACCTAGCATTTCGAAAGCAAGAAATTGCAAGTAGATGGGAAGGTAACAGCGTT